GGGGATATATAAACACTAACATTTTTTAGTAGTGTCATGTTCCTGGTAACGTAGGGGGCGATATATTAAACACGATACATGGTTAGTAGTGTAAATATCCTGAAACGTAGGGGGAGATATATAAACACATACATGGTTTAGTGGTGTAGTATTCCTGTAACGTAGCGGGAGATATATAAACACATACATGTTTTAGTAGTGTAATATTCCTGTAACGTAGGGGGAGATATATAAACACATACATGGTTTAGTAGTGTAATATTCCTGTAACGTAGGGGGAGATATATAAACACATACATGTTTTAGTAGTGTAACATTCCTGTAACGTAGGGGGAGATATATAAACACATACATGTTTTAGCAGTGTAATATTCCTGCAACCAATAGGAGATGCGGCATTGTTGTTCAAAGTCACGTGGACACTGAAGCGCAGCAGACGATGTGTTATGATGCAATCGGGGGGATGCGAGTGTGGTATGCACACTTGTTTTGATTCATCGAACACGACGGCAGTGATGATGCGCAGACGACGCGCCGTGGAACGCTCAAGAAAAATGATGTTTTACTTTTACAAGTAAAGCCATAATATATGCTATACATACAGCAAAAGAGACGTAGGAATAACGTCTGAGACGTCCACGTTTAAGTCGACGAAAGACAGATTATGACGTTATCGAATCATGATATATCAAACGATTTCGCCAAAAGTAATCAAATCCCAATGCGCCATCGCGTATCCAGCGTTTAAGAAGTGCTCAACCGAGGAATAGAACGACAGACAATACGTGGAGCAATTATCGTACGCGATGTTTTAGATATCGAGGCAAATAACAGCACTTTATACAGCAATTATCTGAAAACTCTTTGAGTATGACTCTTGCGCTGCTAGTTAAAAAGACGCAAACGAGCGCTGATAAAATGAGTGTATAGCAAAATTTTCATTGTAATATACAGCCTCAAGATAAAGCAACATGAGGAAAAGAAAGAGCCAGGGGGCATGCGTGCGTAAGAGAACGAAGGCGTAGGACAGAGAGAGAGGTGAAGAGGAAAAAGAGAGAATAAAGAGGAAAAGGAGAAGAAACCCCCTAGAAAACCGTGATGCGTTTGTATGTCTTCTGTTTAATGCAGACACAAAACATTCCCTCTAATATAGTCAACAAACTTTCGCCTACTGCAAACAACGGACCATCGCCCTGCTCTGAACAGCAAAAATTCTCGCTGGTGTATGCGAAACACCACCTGTTCGAGTGAGCATTAACTAAAAGCGTCAAGTTGTCATCAAAGTAAAATGAGCCCTTTCCTTCTTATTTGTATGTGCATGCCTGCAAGAGAGTTATTCCCTTGGCCATAGTGTCGCAAAAACCAGAAAGTGTCGCTCGATTATGATATCGGACCCATTTTCTGTTTTTTCCCGGCAATGTGTCTGTCTCCGCTGCGTGCGTCATACATTCTTAATAAGCCAACTCATTAGCAGCAAACTGACAGCTAAAATTAATTACGAAGTTCTTACATCTCCAAATCGCGTTATCGACCGTCAGTTAGCCCACTGCAAACGAGCCAGTTATCATCGTGCACGCAATGCCAACGTAATAGAAAGACAAAGCGAAAAAATTTGAACCTAATCCAATGTGAATTCACAGCCACTGTCTGTAGGGACCTCCCGGATGAGCTAAGGGAGGCATGTAGAGCGGCATAGGTACGTAGGTGCGGCTTTGATAATGAATGGAAAGCAGGTGGGAGGTGGTAGGGCCGATAGCGAGACGTTGAAAAGAAAGAGGGCGGATTAATATAAGAAAATTTGCAAGGAATATCCAGCATGACATAGCGGACATGCAGACACTGATGATGGACAAATATTCATGGAATGGCATTGCGAACTCTATTTCGGATGCGTCCGCTGAGTAGTAGTAGTAGTAGTAGTAGTAGTAGGCCTACACTACAGCCACGCTACACTAAACAATCACATAAGGCTACACTACGCACGACACTAATCACATAAGGCCACACTACACACGTTACACTACATCACATAGGCTACACTACCGCCACGCTACACTACATACACATAAAAGGCTACACTCCACACGGCTTACCCATCCACATCACATATAAGCTACACTACGCCACGCTACACTACATCACAAAGGCTACACTAACCAGCTACACTACATCACATAAGGCTACACTACACCACGGACTAGCCTACACACATAAGGCTACACTACACCACGATACCATACATACACAATAAGCGCTACACACACCGACGCTAGCCTACTCACATAAGGGCGTAAACTATCCCACGCTTTACACTACATCACATAGGGGAGCTTACACATACACCACGCTAGCCTACATCACATAAGGCTACACTACGCCACGCTACACTACATCACATAAGGCTACACTAACACCACGCTAGCCTACATCACAATAAGGCCTACACTTACGCACGCTACACTACATCACATAAAGCTTACCACTACATCAACGCTACACGTACAGGCACATAAGGGCACACTACACCACGCTACCTACATTCACATAAGGCTACACTACGCATGCTACACTACTATCACATAAGGCTACCTAACCACGGTTACACTACATCATATAAGGCTACACTACACGCACGCTACACTACGATCACATAAGGCTACACTACACCCAGCACACTACATCACATAAGGCTAACACTACACCAACGCTAGCCTACATCATATAAAAGACTACACTACGCCAATCGCTACCACTACATCACATAAAGGCTACACTACGGCAACCGCCACCGTACCACACCACGCCACGCCACCACCGCCACGCACGACGCCACGCAACGCCACGCACACGCCAACCCACCGCCACGCCACGCCATCGCACGCCACGCCACGCCACGCCACGCCCACGCCACGCACGCCACGCCACGCCACGCCACGCCACTCACGCCAGACGCACGCCACGCCATCGCCGGCCACGCACCGCCACGCCACGCCACGCCACGCTCACGCACGGCCACGCGCACGATACATACAGCTACACTTACACTACAACAAGCACTACAGCTACACTTCACTACACTACACTACACTACACTACACCCACACCACACCAACGCACGCCACGCCACGCCACGCCCCGCTACGCTACGATACGATACACCTACACCACGCACGCTAATGCTTACCTACAGCCACAACCACACCACAAGCCACACCACCACCTACGCTACGCTACACGCCCTCGACACTAACAACCACCCACGCTTACACAAACGCACCACCCACGTTACCACACTACCCGCTACGCCACACTACGCTAACACCACACCAACACACGCTACTGCTAACACCACGCCACGCTACGTCCACACTCTACACCACACCACCCACCACACCACAACCACACCACAACCACACACGGCCTACGCTCGCTACACTACACTAACCATCTACCACCACACACACCACACACCTACGCTAGCGCTAACACTTACACTATCACCATCTACACCACACACTACTTTACACTGAAACTGCACTTGCCATCTATACTATACTACATTGTTTCCGCCTACGTGTCCTAGCCAGCCCGCATCCGCCCCGCAACCAGCTCTTCTACTAAACGGCTCCGGCTAGCTGGGCCTTGATAGTTACCTGAATGCACCGAACTGCTAACGCCTCGGCGCAGGTTACCCCCGTGTCCCGTGGCTTGCTGCCTTGCTACTAGCTACGAGTGGGCAGCGCAGGCAGAAAGCACAGTCTGATCTTCGTCCCAGCGGCCATGGTAATTAATTGGCAGGCGAAACAGGCGCGCCGCTGCCGACGGCGTCATCTGACGCTGCGCAGGTTCAAACGATCGGGAAAATACGGCGCACTGCGCACGCACGACGCACACAAACACACACACACACACACACACACACACGCGCGCACACCACCACACGCACACACAACAGGCACCGCACGACACGCACGCAAAGCACACGCAACACGCCACACGGCACACGCACACGGCCAGCACGCCGACGCACACCGCACACGAACGAGCACGACCACACGACACACACACACGGCACACGCCGACACACACACAGCCACACCAACCACCCACACGCCACGCACACACACGACTACGCACGCACCAAACGCCTACCCTAGCACGGATGGCGAGCGTCTGTCGGTCGCGTCTTCATTCGTCTTTCTTTCGCCGCCAGCTTGTCCCTTGCGCTTCTTGCTTACCGGGAACGCCTTGGGTTCTGCCGAAGCGAACTGCGTGGAACAGTTGCGCGCTGCACAGCAGCACCTTGCGTCCCACCTTGCCCGAACGTCGTTCCAATCTTTCTTGACACAGCAACAGTGTGAGCGCCACCTGGGTCGTCTCGCGCGTAGAAAACGTCCGCGCCGCGGTGACCGGGTGTCACCGTTTCCGAACATTCGTCTCGACCTCAACGCCTGTCGGCGCGCATAACCGAGTCGAGTTTCGTGAACGACCCCGTCCTCGCTCTGAGATGTGCTTCGCGTGGCCGCCGATTCTCGTGACCATGTCGGGCACGAACGTGGTCGTGCTCGTCTCGTCGACGTCGTCGTCGCGTCGTCGTCGTCGCAACACACCCACATCGTCCGGCTCGTGTGACCGTGCTCCCGGACGTCGACTCCTGGCTTCCGCGCCCCGTGTTTGTCGGCTCCTCGCCGACGCGTGCGCCCCCTGCGACTAACGGCGTCGGCGCTCAAGTCCGCGCCATCCGTCTCGTCATCGTCAGCGTCACGGGGCCGTGTTTCCTCGATCCGTGCGGCGTTGCGCGACATGCGGTTGCGCTTCGCGTTGTCGGCTGACTTCGCGCAGTGCTCGCTCTAATCACCTTGAAGGATGCTTGTAGTGAGAATGACCATGAATGATGCAGGGAATGTAGAAGGAGCCTGATCGACGAATAGATGATGAAGTCTGAGTTAAAACACGCAAGCTCTCGTTTGCGACCTCGACCTCTGGTTAGAGGCCCGTGGCTATCGGATGCCCGATGGCGGCGGTGGCCCGCGGCCTCGACATTTGTTGTTATGCTTTGCATATTGATCGCTGCGTGCATGAATGATCGATATATACTGAGAGAGAGAGAAGAGAGACGAGAGAGAGAGAGGCGAGAGAGGGAGACGAGAAGAGAGACAGACGAGAAGAGAGCGAGGAGGAGAGGCAGAGAAAAAAGGAGAACAGAACCACCCACGAACACTATAAATAAACAACACCACACGCCAAAATGATTAGAGTGGGAATAGATATGATTGTGGAGGATGGATGGTTGTGAGATGGATGGATGGAGGATGATGATGAAGGATGGATGGATTGGATGGACGATGGATGGATGGATGGATGGATGGATGGATTGATGATGGATGGATGGATGGATGATGGATGGATGGATGGGATGATGATGATGATGATGGATGGATGGAGAATGGATGGATGGATGGATGATGGATGGATAGGTTAGATGGATGATAGACTAATATGGTACATTAGATAGACAGGCAGTTAGAATAGATAGATAAAATAGATACATAGGATAATAGATAGATCAGAATAGATAGATAGAGTAGATAGAGTAGGATACGATAGATAGATAGATAGATAGATAGATAATTGATAGATAAATAAATAGATAGAAGTAAGACAGTTAATATATATATACATATATATATATACATATATAGATAATTGAAAAGATAGATAGATAGATAGATAGATAGATAGATAGATAGATAGATAGATAGATAGACTAAGATATGATAGAATAGATAGTAGATAGATAGATAAGACATAGATAGATAGATAGATAGATAGATAGATAGATAGATTAGATAGAATAGATAGATAGATAGATAGAAGATAGATCAGATAGATACATAGATAGATAGATAGATAATAGATAGATAGATAGATAGATAATAGATAGATAGATCAGATAGATAGATAGAATACGATAGAGAAATGATAAGTGTAAATGGATTCAGGCTCGTTGATGTAACATTTATTCACCCACCACATAAACTATACGCAACCCTCTACCGTAGTCATGCTTGCCCTGCTGCCGTGTCACCTAAATCCTATTATATTATATCCCTCGCAGTGATCGATTATGTTTGGTTTGATTGGGCGCCCAATCTAACGCGAAATGGCCGAAAACGATATGATCGATCCAGTTTATAGTGTGAATTAGTGAGAAATTAAAAACGTTGAAGCATTCATTTTTAACGTTAGGCCTTCGCGTCATATTGCTCGCGCTAGGCCCAGTGCGGTTTCAACTAGAAAACGCATGTACCGATTAATGACACAGCGTTGTTAACGCAGCCGGAGGTCGGATGTGTCGGCGCCAGCCGAGGTGATCCGCCGCCCCCCCGACAACCAAGCGCGATGTGCTGCTGCTAAATGCCGACGTTGAAGGCAACGCGGCGTTGTACCAATTACCCCGCATACAGAACTTTTGGGCGGTTGGATTTGATGAGATGGTATTGGAACTGGGTGCGGGGTCAGAACCGCGCGAGCTTTATTTCAATTGTATCCTGCTGCACCACGTCTGTGCGGGCGTACGTAACGAGCTAAACTGAGCATGCCATGATACTTCATCCTTGATGGTAGGATCAGAATTTGCAGCCTGTGACGCTACGGATTGACGCGCGCCTAATCCGCGCACCAGTTTTGATGTAGGTTAAGTATTTCGTCATCCTGTACGGTTACACAGTTCTTCTGTTTGTGAATGAAAATTAGCACCCGATAATATATTCACCGCGAATATCCCAGCCCCCAAGGCCCTACATCTTGGCTTTAATCTCTCCATCCTGCATCTCGGCGCTCGCGAACTGCATCAGGGCTGTCTCTTGGTTAGCCCCTTGCACATGCCATTCGCATCATGTATGGCAGTTACAGAGGCGCGCCATACAAATCGTAAAATCTATTGAACAATGCTCCCGCCGTGATGTAATATTTATGAAATTCTCGCGCAGAGGGCTACAAGCGCGTCGTTCACGTGAGTTTGTTTTATCCGTCCGTACCGATTACGCAAGAGTTCTTTTGTCTGTCTGTCTGTTGCGTCCTGTCGTTTTTTTTGGCACGGTTTGCTTAGTTCCACGTGTGCTACTAATTGAGCATCAGGTTTGTCGATACTGTACATTTTTGCGCTGGCTTCTGCTCTCTATTTTGCCGCATGTTGTCTGCCGTCGACTGTTTTGTGTATATACTTTCGTCCGCTATATAGTTTGGCATGCTACGTCCATCGCCGCGACCGCCGCGCCCAGTCTGCCCGCAACCTTCGCGATTGCGTTTCAGAATTTTTGTAAACAATCGGCAGAGGGCCCCGTATATACCGTCATTTGCGTAAAATGCTGCGTTGCAAATCACTTCGCAAAGGTTTCGCAGGTCCGTCTGTTTATCCGTCCGCTCGATTATGCAAGCGTGCTGTCTATCTCTCGTTGTGTCGTCTCTCCCGGACGTTTATGATCGCAAGTTAGATAGACGTTTACTTGCTAGCTGGTTGTGACTCCTTATTTTTGTCTGGCTTATTAAAATTGTTTTCATTCTAACAACAATTTGTCAGTCTGGCAATCGTTTCCTAGTCTGTTTGCAGTGTATTATGTAGTCTATTACGTATGCAGTTTGTATATTTGTATGTCACTCATAGGCGTGACTGCCGCGCCCTCTGCCTGAATTCACTCGCGTTTGCGTCTTAGTGGCTTTTGTAAGTAATCGGGGAAGGGTACCCCATTATACCGTCATTAGTGTGAGGAGCTCTTTGTAAATTACTTCGCAAAAAGCTATGAAAATAAAATGGAAAAAAATTATAAATACAGCGGCCGTAAGTATAACAGCGCTCTCGCGCGCAGCGGAATGCAGCGGCTTCAGCAGTAAACCAGGAGAGAGAGAGAGAGAGAGAGAGAGAGAGAGAGAGAGAGAGCGAAACGAGAGAGGAGAGAGAGAGAGAGAGAGACGAGAGAGATAGAGAGAGAGACGAGAGAGAGAGAGAGAGAGAGGGAGAGAGAGAGAGAGAAGAGGGAGAGAGTGGAGAGAGAGAGAGAGAGAGAGAGAGAGAGAGAGAGGAGAGAGAGAGAGAGAGAGAGGGTGAGAGAGAGAGAGAGCGAGAGAGTGAAGAGAGAGAGAGAGAGGGGGATAGAGAGAGAGAGAGAGAGAGAGAGGAGAAGAGGAGACAAGAGGGAGAGAGAGAGGAGAGAGAGAAAGAGGAGAGAGAGAGATTGAGAGAGAGAGAGAGAGAGAGAGAGAGAGAGAGAGAAGAGAGAGTAGAGAGAGAGAGAGAGAGAGAGAGGAGAGAGAGAGAGAGAAGAGAGAGAGACGAGAGAGAGAGAAGAGAGAGAAGAGGAGAGAGAGAGAGAGGTGAGACCGCAAGCACCAGGCGGTTTTCTATAATTCCCATGTCATTCCCACGATTATCATATCTATATTTC